ATCAGATTCTCGATTTCTCTGTTTCGAGTTTTATGTCTTCTTTTTTAGGTTTGTATTGTCCTTTCTCGAGGTCTTTCTGGTCTTAAATCAATTTGATTTTAGTTTTGTTCGGTAATTGTTTTTGTCGTTTGAAATCGTATGGTCACACTTTGGTAGCTGCCAAATTTGTTCATTTCTGATGTTGTTTTGTGGTTTCTTCTTCTGCAGGTTGATCTGATACTGGGTTTCTTCTCGATTCCTGTTTTGTATGTTTTAGGGTTTTAGTCATGGAATAGAGTGATGGTTATTGGTAGATCAGATGTGGATTTAAGCAATTACTGAACTAGTAAAGAGATCATTTTGGGTTACTGTAAATGTTGTGAGGAACAAAGTTGCAGTTTTTTGTTAGATTTTTGGGATAAAGGTGAAGTCTTTGTGTGTGTGTGTAATCTGAGAGAAAGATTGGATGGTGGGAAGAGAAGATGGTATGGGGAATGATGAGGCTCCTCCTGGTTCTAAAAGAATGTTTTGGCGGTCTGCGTCTTGGTCTGCTTCACGTACTGCATCACAAGTTCCTGAGAGCGAGGAGCAACATCTGAACATTCCGTGTGCGAATAGCTCTGGGCCTAGTCGAAGATGCCCAGCTGCTCCTTTAACACCTCGGTCACATCATAACAGCAAGGCTAGAGCTTGTTTGCCACCATTGCAGCCTCTTTCCATTTCCAGGAGGAGCTTAGATGAGTGGCCTAAGGCGGGCTCGGATGATGTTGGTGAGTGGCCTCATCCACCGACCCCTAGCGGGAACAAAACTGGGGAGAGATTGAAGCTTGATTTATCATCAACGCAGCAGCGGGTCCCTGATAAGAGCTCTGGTCTAGCTAAGAGGGAGAAGATTGCTTACTTTGATAAAGAATGTTCAAAGGTTGCCGATCATATATATGTGGGCGGAGATGCTGTGGCGAAAGATAAGAGCATATTGAAAAAGAATGGAATCACACATATCCTGAACTGTGTTGGTTTTATCTGTCCGGAATATTTCAAGTCTGACTTTTGTTATAGGTCATTGTGGTTACAGGATAGTCCATCAGAAGATATAACTAGTATTCTGTACGATGTGTTTGACTACTTTGAAGATGTGAGGGAGCAAAGTGGAAGGATCTTTGTTCACTGTTGTCAAGGGGTTTCACGATCTACCTCTTTGGTAATCGCATATCTGATGTGGAGAGAAGGGCAGAGTTTTGATGATGCATTTCAGTATGTGAAGTCTGCTAGAGGTATTGCTGATCCTAACATGGGTTTTGCTTGCCAACTGTTACAATGCCAAAAGAGGGTTCATGCGTTCCCACTCAGCCCTACTTCCTTACTCAGAATGTACAAAATGTCTCCGCACTCCCCTTATGATCCGTTGCATCTTGTTCCAAAACTGTTGAACGATCCATGCCCATCTTCTCTGGATTCAAGAGGTGCATTCATCATTCAATTACCTTCTGCAGTTTACATCTGGGTTGGTAGGCATTGTGAAACCATTATGGAAAGAGATGCAAAAGCTGCTGTTTGTCAGATTGCTCGATATGAGAAAGTCGAAGCACCTATTATGGTGGTCAGAGAAGGTGAGGAGCCTGCTTATTACTGGGATGCTTTTGCAAGCATTTTGCCTATGGCTGGAGACTCGGTGGTTAAAATTCAACCAGGTGACAGGAAGGTCGAGACATATAATCTGGATTTTGAGATTTTCCAGAAAGCAATTGAGGGAGGTTTTGTGCCAACTCTAGCATCATCCAATAACGAACATGAGACTCATCTTCCTGCAAGGGAAAATAGTTGGAGTGCGTTGAAATGTAAGTTTGCATCAAAGTTTGAGAAGGGTTTCCGTTCTGTCTCCAAAACGCCACTTTCCAGGGTCTATTCTGATTCGATGATGATCGTGCGTGCATCAGGCTCACCTTCATCAACAA